CCAAGATGGCAGAGCTCTGTCACATGGGTTTCATTCCCTTCTGGTGTACATCCACTAATCAGGCAGATATGCTCTAGCTACACCTCACAGTTAAATCAATTGAGATGGGACACTTTTTTTCTGTTCCTTGAAATCCTGAACCTTATTGTCACAATAGCCCTTTCATCTCACTAATGAGAAACGGAGGTTCAGAGAGGAAATGACTTGCCCAAGGTCACACAAGAAATAAGCAGCAGAGACAGGCTTTGAACTCCATCCTCCTTCCTTGAAATCGAGTGTTCTTTTCACTAAATCGTGTTCTCTCTGGGGCATTGATAGATATTTCCACTACAACCTATTGATGCCAAAGCTGGGTGGTTCAATGACAGGCAGCGTGGTGCAAAGAAGGATGGTCTTGGAGCCAGGAACCCAGAGCTCAATTCATACTTCTGATGGTTTCTAGCTGTGGGGTCAAGGGTAAATCACAACCTTTCTGTGCCTCAATTACCCCTTCTGTAAAATTGGGGTAATAATTATGCCACCTCCTTCACAATCTTATAGTGATGAACAACAATTATCCTTAAAGCATTATGGAATTACTATTTGATATTCTAATTATCGAGGCTGCTAGGTGGCACAACTGATAGAGTGCTGGGCCTAGAGTCAGGAAGACCCATCATCCCGAGTTTAAATCCAGCCTCAGACACTTAACAGCTGTGTGACCCTGGGCAAGTCACTTAACCCCATTTGCCTCGGTTCCTCATCTGTAAAATGAGCTAGAGAAGGAAATGGCAAACCACTCTAGCATCATTACCAAGAAAAAAGGGTCACCAAGACTCAGACATGACTGAAATGACTGGATAACAACACTGTAATTATTGCAACAAGTCCTGGACTGGGGATTTCACTGGTATAGCAAACTCCCAGGTAAGGATACTCCCTTTATCAGTGGAAGTCACCACCTTTTCTTCAACTTAAAGTCATGGAGAATTATCTGGAACACCGAGAGGCCAAGTGACTTGCACAGAAACATACAGAAAATATGTCAGTGGGGGGTCTGGAACCCAGTCTTCCTGGTTCACTGGCTGGCTCTTTCTCCACTATGCCACACTGCCTCTCATTATAATTATTATTCAAACCAAATCCCTGAGAAGAACCTTGAAAAGCAATAGAAACTCCTCTGGGAAGCCCAGCTCCGAGACAGCCTAAGAGCAGCCAGTGAGGATTTTTCTCCTGATCTCTCCACAGTCCCTGGGGCTGGAGAGGCCCAAGAGAATGGGTCCCAATTCCATAGGCCTGCCTTAGGTATAGCTCCATTCAGTGCACCTGCAAGGATGCTGTCTTAGCGTTCCTGGAAGCAGGAGAATCCCGAGTGAGAGCCCCGGATGACCGAGGAAGCATTTGACCCTATTGTCCTTAGGATGGTGTATTCCAGGAGCTAAGGGGCTGGTTCTGAGGCCACCCAGGCCCTTATCTCATCAAGGCCAAGATGAAAAGAGAGTAGAAGGCCCTGATGACAGGGCGAGTCATTAACCTTCCTGCTATTGCCAGGCAACTTTCTGGCCTTAGAGGAAGGACCAGATCAATTCTAAAAGGAAAAAGGTAAAGATTTGCTTGAGACAGAGGCATCTCGAAAAGGGTGCTAGAAAATCATTGCTTCTAGAAGCTTCTGCTAAATGCAAAAATGCCTTTCTCTTTTCACCATCTGTGCATGGAGGCATGCATTAGGGTCTAGGAAAGTGGATAGAAAGGTGGATAGAGGACCACAGTACCTGGCTTCCACCGTCACCTCTATATCTAACTTGTTGGGCAACTTGGGGCAAAGTGCCTCTGCCTGCCTGGGGGCCTTTGATCTCTGGTCTGGCAATATGAGACATTTGGACTAGTTGCTCTCTACAATGCCATCTATCTTGAACACTCCATATTCTCTTTTCCTAGTTTTCCTCTAGAACCAACATCCTGTGGTTTTCTGACTCCAGCTACTTCTTTGATTGGCCCACTTTTACACCAAATGTTCCCCAGCAGTCAATGGTGCTATTTAATGGTTCTACAAATGTTTTGGTGTATAAGGTAGGTCTAATCGATTCAATAAGCATTTACTAGGCATCTATTGTATACAAGATCCAAAGTCACACAGCCAGTATATCTCAAAGGCAAGACCTGAATTCAAGTCTTCCTAACTTAGGAATGAACAGCTCTCTTCCTGCTATGCTCTGCTGCCTCTCAGGACCCTGAGACCACTCTTTAAGACTACTGATCATAGAGAAGTTGTCAATCTGCATGAAGGGAGGTGAATTTTACTCTGTACAGATTAAGTTACAGGTCTAGACTAGAAAAAAAAATACCATGCACTGAGTAAAGTTATGTCATACATTTTTTATAGATAACGTTTCCATAACTTTTGCCTGCTCTGATGCTTACTACTTTGTGACTTTGGGTAAGACACTTCCCTTTTCTGGCCTTTAGTTTCTTTGTCTACAAAATGATGGGGGTGGACTAGTTGACATTCAAAGCCTTTTCTAGCTCCAGGTTGATGATTCTATGATCTCTCCTTTGTTCCCTTTACTCCCAGCGTGCACTATATGTCATGTGGTCATGTTACATGTCACTAGTAGAATGTAACCTCCTTGAGGGCAGGAAGAGTTTCACCTTTTTTTTTTTTTTGCTTTTTTGGTGAGGCAGTTGGGGTTAAGTGATTTGCCCAGGGTCACACAGCTAGTAAATGTCAAGTGTCTGAGGTCAGATTTGAACTCAGGTCCTCCTGATTCCAAGGCCAGAGGTCTATCCATTATGCCACCTAGTTGCCCCTTTTTTGGTCTTTTTGCCCAGCCTCTGCCTTGTGCTTCTTTATTTGAGGGAGAGAAGAGAAGACCTAGGATTTCATTGATATAGGGAACTTATAGCGAGGAAAATCCCTCTATCGAGCAGGTAGCACCAGCTCTGCTGCTTATAGTCATGGAGAATTTCCTCTAGCCCTGAGAAACCAGTATGGATCAAAGATAAGGCTTCAACCAAGGTCTTTTTGACTCTGAAGTAGGCTCTCTGTGTCCTCCATCACTGCCTCGTCTCTGCCTTGTAGAAGCAGGCACTGCATTAATAAATTCAATCAAATTGAGTAAGGGACCAATTTCCCCTTCTGATCACTTCCTTGGAACTCACACTCCACCCCCAACACCATTGCTCAGACTATCCATGTCTGAACTTTCCCTGGCTGGGTTTTCAGAGCTAAGTTTCCAACCACAAGTCAATCTGCCTCATTGTTTTGCTTCACAATCTCATCTTGTTTTTAACTCACAAAGGTATATAACCCCCTAGGGATCTCCTCCCCCACCTTATTGCCCAGACTTGGCTCAAATTTTTGTCTGGTTCCAACTAGCTGCTAAGGAAAGAGAGTTCCCTCCATTGACAGGGAATAGTCCAACAAATAGGCCAAAGGTTCTCTAGGCTGCCCTGGCTTACAATCTGATCTCTTAGCCTGAGCAGTAATAGATCCACAGATGAAATGAGTGTGCTAATTTCAAAGAATACTACTATGAAGAAGTACAGGCCTCACTGGGATGTGCAAGCTCTGGAGCATTCATTTAAAATTATGTCACCTTACCTCAGGTAATCCCTGTGAAGCTCCACCATCTGAGATCAGTCATGGAAAGTGATTCGTGTGCCCTCCTGGTACCTTTTACAAATGTCCCTTTAGCTCCCCTGGCCCGTGTACTCCAGAAATAGGCAGAGAGTTTATTTCTGAAAAGAAACAGTCCTAAGCATGACTGCTCAACCATCAATTAAGGACCAAGCTCAGGTACACCCAACCCTCCAAGGTTCTCACAGAAAGGCCCATCCATAGAGAGCAGGACAGGGTCTTAGAGATCCTCTAGTCCAATTGTCTGATATTTCAGCTACGTATAGCCGATAAAGCTCCAGACTTGGAGTTGGGAAGACCTGAGTTCAAATCTGTCTTCAGATCCCAGCTGTGTGACCCTGAATAACTTATTTAACTTCTCTTTGCCTCACTTTCCTCATGTATAAAATAGGGATAATAACAATAGCATCTGCCTCCCTGGGTTGTTGGTTACTTTTTTTGTGTGTGTGATAATTGAATGAGATAATATTTGTAAAGTGTTTAGCAAACCTTAAAGTGCTATACAAATGCTAGCTATTGTCATTGTAATTATTATTCTCTAAGTTAGTAAAAAAATATTTCATTCATTTCACTATATAATCATTATTTTCTACTATTGGGTTGCAAGGATGTCAGGTTAAGAATAAAATTATTATTATCATCATCATCATCATCATAGGATTATTATCATTGTGGTTCAATATTTATCAGTTAATCACACTTATGAAAACCTATCAGTTCAAACCACAGGAGCATGGCTCAAGTACCCTTGCCCATGAGATGGTGGCTTATCCAAATCAAAGACAAAATAGTTGGGGGAAAATAAACCATATTATGTATACTAGCCTTGCAAAACAAGGCTTAGCATGTGAACCACCAAAAAATCAGGATAGAAACTCAATACTAATTCATCCCTAGTCCTGGGTCATAATGAGCTCACCTCTTTTCTTGGTACTTTTCTCTGTACCTCTCTTCCACAGATGACATATCTGCTATAGTCATGACCCAGGGAAATAGCACCATGGTGACAGAATTCACCTTGCTGGGATTTACTATCCGCCAAGACCTGCAGTATGTCCTGTTCCTTGTGTTTCTATTTGTCTATGTCACATCTGTAGTGGGCAATGTTGGTATGATTCTGATCATCAAGATTGACCCCCACCTTCACACTCCCATGTACTTTTTTCTCCAACACTTGGCTTTTGTTGACCTCTGTTACACCTCCGCCATCACTCCAAAGATGCTGCAAAACTTCCTGGTGTCCCACAATTCTATCTCATTCTCGGGATGTCTGATCCAATTGTTGGTTTATGCTACATTTGCTACCGCTGATTGTTACCTTCTTGCGGCCATGGCCATAGACCATTATGTGGCCATTTGTAACCCCCTGCACTACCCAGTGGTCATGTCTCAGAGGGCCTGCATCCAGCTCGTTGCTGGGTCTTATGTTATGGGATCCCTGAATGCCTCTATCCATACAGGTTTTACCTTTTCTCTGTTCTTTTGTAATTCCAACACCATCAATCACTTTTTCTGTGATGTGCCCCCACTCCTGGCCCTTTCCTGTTCCAGAATTAATATCAATGTCATGCTGTTAATTGTCTGTGTGGGTTTCAACCTGGTTAGCACTGTGATGGTAGTGTTCTTCTCCTATGTGTACATCCTGGCTGCCATCTTGAGGATGCGCTCTGCCGCGGGGAGACACAAGGCCTTCTCCACTTGCGCCTCCCACCTGACGGCTGTCACGATTTTCTATGGGACTCTTTCTTACATGTACTTACAGCCTTCTTCTAGTGAGTCCCAGGAGAATGATAAAGTAGTCTCTGTGTTTTACGGCATCATCATCCCCATGCTGAACCCCCTGATCTATAGCCTGAGGAATAAGGAAGTCAAAGAGGCCCTGAAAGTGATGGGTAAGACTTGCTTAACATGGTAACTTCAAAGTACAAAGTCCTTTACAGGACCAGCTTGGCAAAGAGCATCCTCTCTCATTCTTTCCACAAGTGGATAGCCCCGCAGCTAAGGAGGACGTGATAATGATGAATGGTGAAATTTGGAAAGGCGTGGAGGAGCACTAGAAAAACCCTTCCACCTTGAATAATCCTTCCAAAAGTCTCTAACAGAGGTTGAAAAATAGCCCAAGCCCTTGAAACAGTAACAATCACTAATCATTGATAATGATCAGGATCAGTTATCAATAATTATCATTACGAAGATGATGATGAAGACAGTAATGACAGCTTACATTTATCTTGCAGTAAGGCGTTTTCACATGTGTAATCTTAAGCTTTCACAACTCTACAAAATAGGTAGTATAGGTATTACCTTCCTCATTTTGTACATAAGGAAATTGTGACTCGGCAAACTGTAAAGTCATGTGATTTTAAAATTAAAAGAGAGCTAAGAAATTATCTAGTTCTGCTCCCCTTACTGTAACAAATAAGGAAACTGAGGCCTGGAGAGGTTAACTGACTTGCCTAAGGTCACACAGGTAAGGGTCAAAGTCAAGATTTCAACCTGGAGTCTCTGATCCAATGCCAGTGTTCTTTTCTCTAGCATGGTAAAATTGACCCAAGCCAGTGCTCACTAGCAGAGCTTTCATGAAACAGTGGACGCCTTCACATCTATATAAGGTATGAGACGATGGCTTGGGCAGAGATTGTCATTCAACATATCCGTGGTTTTGTTCATGTTGCCCACTCAAGAGTCTGTCATTTTCTCCCACATTCCTTGGTTATTTCAGCACCACATCATGATGGTGAATGGTCATGTCTGACTGGACCTAGTATTTTTGTTTCTAGATCTATAAACTTCCCAGAGAGCAAAATCAACTGGAGCAAAGCTCATTGGTTCCTTTGTAATTCTGCACAATGGTCAATAAATGGTCTGAATACAGTAAGAGTGAAATTGATGCTACTGGACCTTTGAGCAGTCACTGCTAATAACGATGCTTTAGTATTTCAGAAGAGGCCTCATCGTATCATTGTGAACACTGCCTGCCGCCCTAAAGATGACAACCCAGGCATGCCTTAGTAAATGGCCTTCATAAGGAAGGTGCTGTGGCCAGATTCCTGTGATTGATTCTTTCCAGGCTTAGCCCAGATAATCCTCAAACAAAGAAGAGTCCATAAGCAGGCCAATACTCCATCTTGGTAGTCTCATCCAGAGTTTGAGTGCCAGTGGAATAAATAGCCTTCCAATCTCAGGGTTCCCTCCATTCCGTGGTGGAGTAGGACCTTAGGAAAAAATTGAAAAACTCTGTAGTTTCCAAAGACATCAGGATAAGGACTAGAGCAGAGACAAGCCGACTTGTCCTGGTCAGATCGCACCCAAACTAATTCTGTCCAACTCAGTCCACCAAGGATTTTTCAAGTGTCTATTTCAATCCAACGTGGCAGTGTAGCACAGTGTGTTGAACACAGAAGGAACATAATCAATGTTTGTGACTTAAATTGAAT